GACGAATCGCGCAGGTGTTGTATCTTCTCCGTGTGAAACATGGCGAGAATCGAACAATTCTCCGCATTCTTAACTGCATGAAATGTAGTTGTTGCTTTGCATTCTTGCTTAAAACTGTTGCATCTATTGTGAATATGTGCTTTATTACAGCTTGCTGCATTTGCATGATCATTGAGATACCTTCGGCTTCTTGCATTGTCGGTTACATTTTGCCCCTACCTGCGGGCATGCCTGCGGGCACATCTCTGTTTGTCTTGCCTGTTTGTCTAAGTCTTCGGCCTTGTCAAAAATGGGTCGTCTCTGGGCTTTGACATTCACTCCCGTCACTTATGACTTCCGAGTTCTGTCAAAGAGGGCAAACTGTAGACACCCTATTTTTGACCGACCTTAAGACTCAGACATCACTGATTGAGCGCTCGGTGATATTGCATATCGTGCTCGTTCAGAAGTTTCAGAGTCCCGGCTGTAAGCCTTGCCTCCGGACTTCCGGACTCTTTCGTGCCTTGCCTCGGTTTGCGAACCAGGCTCTGTTTTCTCTATTTTCTCTATTTTCTCTTCCCAAAGGAAGGGAGAGGTCTCGTAGACCATCTCTCAGTGGCCATAGACTATGTTTCATGGTCGTATGCCATTTTTCCCGTTGGGAGCCCGGTTTCTGATTTTTCGAAGCCGACGACCGTGTGCCTCGGTTCGGGATCACCTAACCACCTCCGTTTGCTCCGGTTTTTGGTATACACCTTATTTACTCCTTTTTGGGGGACACTGTGGCCCGAGAGACCAACTTCATGGTCGAATGCCACCTTCGGTGCTTAACAGCCCATTTTCGGGGCCTCGGGCCGCGCGTTTCGGTCCTCGAACCTCCGTTTTGCATCTGTTTTGGTTCATTTTTGGTGGAGACCTTATTTTCATAGTTAGGAAGCTTGTAGGAGGGTGGGAGGCCAACAATTGTTCTGAAAAGCCAGCTTTATTTTTTCATCTCTCTCCGACGCCCGTTTTCCTCTCTTGAAAGCCAATGTTGACTACCCCGAGGCCACTTTCTTGAACCCTAAAACCCATATTTGTGATGTACACACCTGGGAGGCCACTAATATTTGGTGGCCGACCAGTAATTGTGCCTGACCCTTTTGACCCCTCTAAAAAATGGTATTTTCTCTCTCCTGGTTCACTTTTTCTGGGTTTCAACCACATAGTTGTGTTGTGCACACATGGGAGGCCATTTTTTTGAAGTGGCCGACCAGTAATTGGGCTTCACCTTTTTGACCCTTGGTCGGTCGGCCATGGGAGGTGGTCGGCCGGCCCCCTGAACTTTCTGAACCTGGCCGGGCGTGATCCTCTCACCTGGTTACTTACAGCTGCACCCTTTGTTTCCCCCCAGATCCTGTATCCGAGGGGGGGTCTTTTAGGGGGAAATTTGAATTCATTTTCCCCCCATTTTCTCCACCCCTCTCCCTCTATATAACCAGCCTCTCCCTTTTATTTCTGAGGGTTACAAAACTTGGTTAGGGCATTATACATACAACTTCCATATCTCTCTCATCCAAGCTCCAAAACCCTAATTTCTTGGCCACGTTTACCCTACAACCCATAGCACCACACCTCTACACTCTATTCCAGCACTTTGGAGGACATTTGAAGAGGTTGGAAGCTCACAAATTTGGTCCAAAAGCTGCTAGTTTGCTGCTCTTCAAGGGTGAGTTCTTCTTTTCCCCTAAACTAGTCTTTTCTTGCTTCATTCATAAGCCTTACTTGCAAGCATTTTTGGGCTCCGACCCAAACTGTAAATAGCCATATTTTGAGCTCCTTTTCATATTTGATCAAGGACCTCCTACTGTTTGAGGTCTCCTACTACCACTTGCCTCTTTATCTCTCTCTTAGGCCAATTTTTGCATAGTATTTTAGGCCTATTTGTGAGTTGTTTTGGACTTTTCCATAAACTGTAAAATAACTTGTTTTGAGCCCCTCTTCAATATTGTTGAAGGTATCTCCTCTGTTTGAGGCCTCCAGCTATCACTTGCCTCTTTAACTCTCTTTTAGGCCTATTTTTTACATAGTATTTTAGGCTTATTTGTGAGTTGTTTTGGACTTTTCCATAAACTGTAAAATAGATTTTTTTGAGCCTCTCTTCAACATTGTTGAAGGGCTCTCCTCTGTTTCAGGCCTCCTTCTATTACTTGCTTCTTTATCTCTCTTTTAGGCCAATTTTTGCATAGTATTTTAGGCCTATTTGTGAGCTGTTTTGGACCTTGCCATAAACTATAAAATATATTTTTTTGAGCCCCTCTTCAACATTGTTGAAGGGCTCTCCTCTGTTTGAGAACAGAAGCTGCCACTTGTCTCTTTACCCCTATTTTAGGCCTTTTCTTGCATGATAGTTTGGCCTTATTTGTGATTATTTTTGTGGCTTGATGTAAACTGTAAAGTGCCCTGTTTTGAGCCTCTCTTAAACTTTGTTGAAGGACTCTTTGCCATTTGGGGCCAGCTTCTGCCCCTTTGTGTTTAATCTCTCTTTCAGGGCCGTTTTTGCACGATAGGTTAGCCCTATTTGCGTTTATTTTTAGGACTTGTTATAAACTGGCAATATGCATGTTTTGGTACCGTCTTGAATCTGTCTTCATGTTTCATGAGCAAATAACACATGCTTTGTATAGCTGTAAGTCATTCCATGTGCCTAGTTCGAATTTCGGGGTTCATTCCATGTATTGGGTGCCATGTTTCCATGTTTCGGGCTATTTTGTATCATATTTCAGCGCTGAAATTTGCATGTTTGTATACCATATTCCATGCCTTGCCATGCTTTGGGTAGAATGGCATTTGATGCCTTAGGCTTGGTCTTCGATTTGCGTGCATGTGTGCACGCACTTCGAGTGTCTCATTTTCATCTCATGGCTACTGATGTCAGTGTGGCTGAGGTCCACTCATGTTGGTGTAAGTCCATTATGCATTGTGTATGCCATTTCATTTCATAGCATTGTGTATGCTAGGTTGTATGTTAGAGCATTGTGTATGCCTTGTTACATCGTGCATTGTGTATGCCATCTCATAGCATTGTGCATGCTAGGTTGTATATTAGTTGCATTCATGCATGTCATGCATATTGCCTTGTATTTGGGATAGGAGTTAGCCCGAGCATGGGAAACAAGGGACGTTTCGTACTTCGAGTGACGGAACGTGTCTCAATTCCCAGTCACCGACACTCCAGATTATCCATGATGGAGTTTAAGTCTTTTTGTGTTTATATGTGTATTCATTTCATATTGAGTCGTGCAAATCGACTCCTCGGCCATCATGCATCGATATGCGTGATTGGTGGGCACGAGGATCGAGGACTACACTTCTCGAAGAGTAGTCATGCATACATATGTGAAAATACTTTGCCATGTCCCTTTGTTGCTCTCTGTTGCAGCAAATCAGAAATCGATAGCCTTCCGGAGCTTGACACGCATTCCAAGAACAATTGCAAGCAGAGGCAAACCGGAGCATCACAAGGGATTTTTCGACAAAGGCAACTGGAGCATGCATCATTCATCATCCGGAGCAGATTTGAGGCAGTCCCTGGCTTGCATGCCAATTTATTACTTTCCTAATTTAATTTGTTAATTAAATAGGGTTTTGTACATATTTAGACTATAATTATTCATTTGGGACTATATGTTATTTATTCGGACCCTCCGAGCGAGGGCACAACTGTAATAAGTGTGTGTGTGTGTAATGTATGTCTTCCAACTCCACGTCTTTCTCCCTTTTATTTACCCGCTTATGATGGTTAGATTAGGGCATGTTTCGATTAGCATACAGTATGATAGCATGTTTGCATTCATTCATCTGTTTTGCATGCACCGGGCTCGACGCATCATACTAACTGCATTGTATTTTCAATTCCAAGTTGAATACATGTTAGCTGTAGCATTTCATATGTCATGTCTAGAATAGCAGAGCCTGCTATAGTTGCATTTTTGCATGTGTTGCATTAGGCATTTCTGTATAATTAGGATCACGCATGGATTTCTGATTAGCTTCTGTTTTGACTTGGAGTACTCGGTAAGTTTTATGCTTTAGCATCCTTGCATGCGTGTGAGTGACTGCCATGATAACATGCTTACCATGAGGCTAATTGCTTATGTGATATAACTGCCTGAATGCCTGTGGGTGAAGGTTGGGTTATTTGGATTGGAACAATTCATTCACTGTGAGTTTTAAGCCCACTAGATAGTGGCAAAATCATATTTTCTAAAGCCCACCCGAGGGTGGCAAATCCACGTTTTAGCCTACTTGCGAGTAGCACCATCAAACCATTTTCAAAATAAACAAACATGAAATGTTTTGTTCCAATTCAGGTGATCCATTCTATACTTGTATGCTGTGCGCATCACATAGTAAATCTAGGCTAATAACCGGAATAAGAACGCATAATGTTTTCAAAAATAGATATCATGGTTAGTAGAGGCCGATCTTTGATCGGGCGAGCGGGGGTGCTCACGAAGTGACCTTCCCCAATCGTACCCAAGTTCCCGAGCCAAGGCAACTTTGGTGATGACGGACACGTGGCCTTAGGCAAACGAGTCAGGGTTTCCTAAATTTCACCAAAATAAAACATTTAGGTGGCGACTCTGTATCTGGCAAAGCAGTCCATGTTTGGCACTTCTTTCAAAATCTGTTTTTTCTCAAAACGATTTGTCGGATTTGGACTCTTTGGTTCAGATTTAGAACCGTGACAATTTGAGAGTCTTGAACTGTAGTGAGCAGAACACGAACAAAAACGAACAGAACGGGACTCGTCCTCCCGGGGCGTTCGGGAACATCTACATCTAGCACATTTAGATTTATCAGAGGGAGACTCTTCTTTGAGGAATCATCTACTCACAAAAGCTACAGCCACTATACAATTGGGGAAAACTCTTGGTATCAATTATAATGGGAAAAAAGATGTTGTTCTTAGAAAAATTATTGGCCCAGAGCTAAAGGACAAGGAAAGAATTGGCAAGGAGGGGAAGGCACAGTAGTAAATGGCTGTAGATGGGCGATTTGAGTGTATCAATTGGTTTTCTATGAAATTATTATCTTGGAATATCAGGGGTATGGGTAAGGCAGAAAAGCTCGGAAGAATCAAAAAGCTCCTAAAGGATAGACATATAGATGTTATTTTTCAAGAGACCAAAAAGGCAGTGATATTTGATATTGATGTTCGAAGGTTATGGGGGAGTAGAAACATAGAGTTTATGTCTGTTGATTCTGAAGGAACAACTGGAGGGCTATTATGTATCTGGGACCCTGCTGTCTTCACTCTCTCTGGATGCTGCTGCAATAGGAGGTATATTTTACTTTCTAGTTCTTTATACAATTCCTTTGATTGTGTATTGCTCAACATTTATGCACCCAATGATGTTAGCACCAGATCCACTTTTTGGGGTCATCTCTTAAAGCTTAAATCTTCTTCTTTGGTGCATGGGTGGAGATTTCAATGAAATTAGGCATACGAGTGAAATGGTAGAATGCTCTAGGAGGGATAGGGAAATGAAACACTTAAATGAGTTCATTGGCAAAACTGAGCTTCATGATTTTCCTTTCCGTGGAAGAAAATACACTGGGTGTAATGCCCAAGAATTAGAGAAATAGAGTAGAATTGATAGAATCTTGCTCAGTCCTAAGTGGTTGATTAATTTCACAATGAAACTCTGGGGGATTGCCCAGGTTAATTTCAGACCACTGCCCTTTGCTGATGATGGAGGATGACAGAGATTGGGGGGCCAAAACCTTTCAGGTTCCTTAATGCTTGTACTCTCCATCCCAATTTTTCTCAACTTTTTGTTACCTTTTAGTCAAATACTACCTTTTCTAGTTGGTCTGGATTCATACTTTATCAAAAGCTCAAGCATCTTAAGTTGATCTTAAAATCTTGGAATATTGAGCTGTTTGGCAATATTCATTCAAAAATCAAGTCATTAGAGGAAGAGTTACATGCATTGGACATCATTGTAGAGGAAAAGGCACTGGTTGCTTCAGAAAAGTCAAGAAGAAAGGTGGTTAGAGATGAGATGTGGAAACTTTACAGAATGATAGAGTGGATATGGCATTAAAAATCTAGACTGAACTGGACTCTCAATAGGGATAAAAACACTAAGTTCTTCCATGTTGTTACTAGTACCAGGCAGAGTAAAAATCTAATTACCTCTATTTCAGTTAATAGTGTGTCTTTTGAGAAACCTAACAGGGTCAAGCAGCAAGTTTTACACCATTTCAAGACTCAATTCATTGAATCATGGGTTAAGAGACCTATTTTGGGAGGGGTGTTCAATACTATTGAAGCAGATTATGTTTCTCAACATCTGGTAGCTGAGTTCAGTGCAACTAAAGTCCTAGCAGCAATTAAAGATTGTAACAACAACAAAGCTCCAGGCCCTGATAGGTTCAACCTATTGTGCTATTGGAAATTCTGGAAGGTTATGAAGCCGAACATAATACAATTTTTCAAGGAGTTTCACTCCAACAGTAGGCTCACTTATGGCATTAACAACACATTTATTACTCTCATTCCCAAGTTAGAAAATCCAGTTGGTTTATCTAACTATAGACCTATAAGTCTTATGGGATCCATTTACAAAATCTTGGCCAAAGTTCTATCACACAGATTGAAATCAGTGCTTTCCTCAATCATTGGTGAAACTCAGGCTGCATTCATAGGAGGAAGAAATATTCTTGATGGGGTGTTCATTGCTAATAAAGTGGTGGATGGTTGGAAGAAGGCCAAAAAGCCAGGATTGATTCTTAAATTGGACTTTGAGAAAACATATGATTCTGTCAATTAGGAATTTCTATTCTCTTTGATGACCAACTTTGGCTTTAGGGATAAATGGATCTCTTGGATGAAAGCTTGTGTATCTACAGCAAGAATCTCCGTTCTAGTGAATGGATCACCTACTGAGGAATTCTCCCCCAAAGAGGCCTTAGGCAGGAAGATCCACTCTCACCTCTCCTATTCAACATAGTGTCTGCAGGGCTTAACATTCTTCTGGTCAGAGCACTTAACCTTGGTATTCTTAATGGTATGGAAGTTGGGACTAATAACATTCTTATATCACATTTGCAATTTGCCGATGATTCAATTCTCTTTTGTGAAACTGATTGGGATCAATTGGCATCCATTAAATGAATTCTCAGATGCTTTAAAGTACTATCGGGTCTCAAAATTAACTACCACAAGAGCGTTGTGTGTGGTGTCGGTGTGGCTAAAGATATTATGATTTCTTTTGCTAATCTTCTCAACTGTAAGGTGCAGGGCCTTCCTTTAAAATTTCTGGGGCTGCCTTTAGGTGCTAATCCTGGCAGGAAATCTACTTGGAAGCCTGTAATTGACAAAATCAAATCTAGATTGTCTGGATGGAAGAGAAAATTGCTATCCTTTGCAGGTAGACTAACTTTGATCAAATCTACCCTTTCTAGCTTACTTGTTTACTTTCTTTATTTATTTAAAATGCCTGAAGAAGTGACTAAAGAAATAGAAAAGATTGAGGCTGCATTCTTATGGGGTGGTAGTGATCTCAAAAAGAAAGTTCATCTAGTGAAATGGGAGGAGGTTACAAAGAGTATTGATCAAGGGGGTTTAGGCATCAGAAGGGTCAGGATGTCAATGATTGTTTACTACTCAAATGGTGGTGAAAATTTGGAAACCAAATCAATGCACTTTGAAGAAGAGCTGTTTGCAGTACATATATGATTAAGGACAATTGTTGGCATCCTCCAATGAAGCCTTCTTACAAGCATTCTAGAATGTAGAGTGACATCTTATCCATTGGGGCTCTTAACAGGCCTATTTTCAACTTCTTTTTGGACAATTGCATCATCAAAGTGGGGAATGGCAATGAAATCAATTTTTGGTCTGATAGGTGGTGTGGCGCCCTTTGCCTGGAATATGTTTTTCCTCTTCTTTTTAACCTTTCAATTGATTAGGAAGGCTCTCTCCACTAATATTTTGCTAGGAAATCAAACCCAAGTGATTGGAACTTCTCCCATAAAAGAGAGTTGTATACTTGGAAATTGGTTGAAGAAGCTAGACTGAATGCTATATTATCCTCAACTCTTTCTCTGTATACAGATTCTGTAGACTGCTAGGTCTGGTCTAATGCTTCTGTAGGCCAGTTCTCTGTCTCTACTCTTTATTCTCACAGCTCTTCTCTCCTAAGCCCCCATCTCATAACCTATAAGCTTATCTGGAGTTCTGTATTTTCCCCTAGAGTTTTATTCTTCTGTTGGTTTGCCGAAAAAATAGGATTAAATGTTTAGACTTTTTGCTCAGGATTGGTATTCTTGACAACAATGGCCCTGTTTGGTACAACTTTTTTTCAGCTTATTTCAGCTTTTAGCTTAATTTAAGCTATTTTGATGTGTCTGGTTTAGCTTAACAATGTAGCTTATAGCTTTTTGTAAGTCAGAAATCAGCTTATTCTTTGAGTGGGGCAGGAGAAACTTAATTTATAAGCCAGAAATCAGCTTATGTTCATAGTTATAAGTTATAAACTGTTAAGGCATAAGCTATAAGTACTTTTCCACAGCTCTACCAAACAGGGCCAATGCCTCGTCCCTCTGCCCCTTTTACAGTTCTGAATTGGAACCTACTATTCATGTCTTGCTTCATTGTCCCTTCTCTTGGTTAATTTGGTTTGCAATGATTGGAGATTGGGGATTTCATTGGTGTATTCCTAAATCAGTTGATGGTCTACTTACTTGGTAGATGGGTGGTAAATTTTAGAAGCTTGAAAGGTCAATTTTGAGAGTCGTCCCATTAATTGTTCTTTGGTCACTTTGGAAGCACAGAAATGAATGTATATTTTCTAATGCACAACCCAACTCATTTGGTCTACTTGAATTCATCAAATTGAAATCAGCCTTTGGCTTGAAGCTTCCATTAAGAATTTCTCCTACACAATTGATGATCTTGTTTTCAAATGGAGATAGATCAGGGGAAGTGCTTGACTTTCCAGTTAATATAGTGATTGCTACTACTCTCCTCCTTCTTATCTCCTATGTGGTTGGAGCTTGCTCAGGATCTGTTGATGTTTGTTTTTGCTATCTGTTGCTGTTAGATTCTGGTGTTTCAAACAGAGGTGTTGCTACATAGTCATGGTTCTATTTGTTGGTCTACTATGCACTGCGGGTTGTTTTGCTACTTTGCTCAGGATTTGTCTTTTTTGCTCTTGTTTGTCTTTGTTTTTGCTCTGCACGTTGGTTTCTCACCAACTAGGAAGTTGGAGCTTTATCTAGCTCAAAGCTCCTCTTTGTTGATGTAATTTATTGTACTTTGTATGTGTTTCATCAATAAAGTTTTCTTTGCCGATCAAAATAAATAAATAAAATTAACAATTTAAAAATATAATATAAAAAGCAATGATAATTTAGGAGATAAAAAAATTAACCCTTTTTCCCACAAATTTTTGCATTATTTATCATCGTATAATAAAAAATCAAAAATGCTAGAGGCCCCAAAAATTCTATCAAAAATTTTACCAAATGTCTCACATGGGTGTGGGATCACTCATATTTACTTTCCTTTAAAATTTATCCCACAAAAAATACATAATTTCTCAAGAACCTTGAAATACTTTTCCATAAAATTTTTTGTGACAAATGAATAATTAAAATTTAATTTTTCCTTTAACAGAAATGCACATGAAATGTTGAATAAATAGAGGAGGCATACAAGTTCATCTTTTGGTCACACTTGCTACTATTTGTGGGATGGGCTTAATCTCGTGTTAGGGGCTGTCACATAGTTCATGTGATTTGTTTAATCAAACAAAATACCAATTAATGACTAAACCTCAAAAACCCTAACAACAGATAGTAATAATAAATACTTCACAAATCTACTTAAAAGAGCATCTTCTTTGGATAAGTTAGTGCATCATCACTAAACACAATTTTCTCTTTTTTGTGCTCTATTAGAGCTGTTAGTGAGTTGGCTTGTAGATAAGAAAGAAAGAAAAAAAAAGGTCAATTACAAATTTTTAATTTTATAGTTTAATTTAAATTTTATTTTGATTCTTGTTACATTAGTTTGAATAATATAGTCCTTATTTTTTAAGTTCATTTTTTACACCTGAAAATATTGACATGTGTTATAAAATTATTGACTTTAATCTCTAAGTATTTTTTTTTTCCTGGTTATAAGATAGCAATTAGTATGCTAGTAATTAGATTACAACACATGCAAATGTCTCTCCATAGATTCAAATCTGAAATTTCACTCACCTTGACACCTAAAAGTACCCTCTTCATGACTACTTGGGCAATTGCCCAAGATCCTTTAATCTCTAACTTGAGCAGAAGAATCAATTAAAATTATACTTAAAGTGTAAGAACTAAATTGTTCGATTTAAAATAATAAAGACTAAAGTAAAATTTAAATAAAATTACAAGAGTTAAAATTATAATTTAGCTTAAAAAATAGTCAAATGTTATAGAGTATGCTAACTGGAATGGGTCATTTAAGCAAGAAAAGAGAGAAAGAGAGAGACATTTCAACATTTAAAGAAAATGTTAAAAGTTTTAAATTTTCTATCAAATAAATAAATAAACACAATTTTCTCTTTTTTGTGCTCTATTAGAGCTGTTAGTGAGTTGGCTTGTAGACAAGAAAGAAAGAAAAATAAAGGTCAATTACAAATTTTTACTCTTATAGTTTAATTTAAATTTTATTTGGATTCTTGTTACATTAGTTTGAATAATATAGTCCTTATATTTTAAGTTCATTTTTTACACATGAAAATATTGACATGTGTTATAAAATTATTGACTTTAATCTCTAGGTATTTTTTTTTTCCTGGTTATAAGATAGCAATTAGTATGTTAGTAATTAGATTACAACACATGCAAATGTCTCTCCATAGATTCAAATCTGAAATTTCACTCACCTTGACACCTAAAAGTACCCTCTTCATGACTACTTGGGCAATTGCCCAAGATCCTTTAATCTCTAACTTGAGCAGAAGAATCAATTAAAATTATACTTAAAGTGTAAGAACTAAATTGTTCGATTTAAAATAATAAAGACTAAAGTAAAATTTAAATAAAATTACAAGAGTTAAAATTATAACTTAGCTTAAAAAATAGTCAAATGTTATAGAGTATGCTAACTGGAATGGGTCATTTAAGCAAGAAAAGAGAGAAAGAGAGAGACATTTCAACATTTAAAGAAAATGTTAAAAGTTTTAAATTTTCTATCAAATAAATAAACAAATGTCTCACAGGGGTGTGGGGTTCACAAAATTGCAAACCCCACATCCATGTGAGATATTTGTTCATTTATTTGGTAGAAAATTTAGTATTCCTAACATCACCTAACATTTAAATTGGAGCATCTTTAACAAATCTTAGTACACAAAATTGGACCCCAATTTTTGACACAAACTATAACATATTATTACAGCAAAACAAAACACTACAGCAAAGCAAAGCAAAGCAAAACAGAAAATGACAAGCAAAACCTACAACCAAACTCAGTTTCCCGCCAAAACGACATGGATTTGAAAGACTAGGAAAAAGTTTGAGATATTGAGATAAATAAAACACATCCGAACACCCCTTAGCAACTAGCTCAAAAGATTCCTTGACAGAGCATCTCCAACAACTCCATATCCTTAGTATTAACATCAAAGCTCATCTCCTTATCCATTAACCCGGCTGGCATCATCTTCATCTCCATCACCAACTCTGCTTTATTGCTCTCATTGAGCATCGATCCAAAATCATCTTCTTCAACAGCCATTTTCTCATAAATTTGATAATCCGCTACCTTATCCGAATCAGAAGTTGGGCCTTTCTGATCTTTATTGTCTTCTTCCAAGTCGGTATTATCAAGGATTCGCAAGTTGGAATCGGATGATGGGCCTTTTTGACCATCATTGACAGTTGAATCTGAAGGCAAGCTCTTGATGTAGTCCTGCAAGAGAGAGCTGTACTGGCCTTTACGCTTGCTAAATCGCCGCCTTTTTGTTGCATTCCAATGGTTTTTTATGGTGTTTTCAGTCCTTCCTGGCATTTCCCTTGCAATGGCTGCCCATTTATTACCTATTTGTCTATGGACCTCAATTAGCTTCATCTCCTCTTCCTCACTCCATAAATCTTTCTACAAATGTAGCAAAAAATTTAAAAAAACAAATGGTCATTCATGTAAAAAAATTACAATACAAGTACGACAGGATGCGTTAATTTTTTTTTTTAATTTATAATTTCTAGTATTATATTATATATGATTTCAAAGAACAATTTAAGAATTATATATTAGTTTAAGAGTTAATAACTAACTTTAGTAAGAAATAAGAAAATATTTTTAGAAAACTATTATTGCATTTTTTCTAACAATAACAATTTGAATTTCATAATAATTTGAATATGTGACCTGTACAAAAAATACATGATACTTTTCAAAATTAATATAAAATATCGGATACGTATTTTGAAGTATCCAATGTATATTAATAAGGAAATGACATGAATATGCTCTCTTTTGAATGTATCCATTCTCTATCGTTGTACTAAAAAATTGATTTATTTTTTCGTGCACACATGAGAAAAATGAAAAGCTTGATGTTCCACTCCATGAACTGTCTGTGAATGCGTATTTGTGTTTTTATGCAAAGGATTTAATTAAAATACTAATAATATAGCACATGGCGCTTGTACACATGTTAAAAAAAAAAATAAAGAAAGAAAGAAAGAATTAATAGTCGAAGTATTAAAAATTGTATTTATTTTCTAGTGCATAGCATGTGTGGACATATGAGAAAAATTAAAAGCTTGATGTTTGATTCCATGAACTGTGTGTGAATGAGCATTTGAGTTTTTATGAAAATAATATAAATAAAAATTCTAATAATCTAGCGTGGCGTGTGCATAGAAAAAAAATGATTAATAGAAGTACTAAAAATTGGTATTTATTTTCTAGCACATAAAATGTGTGCGCACACGAGAAAAATGAAAGGCTTGATTCCACTCTATGAACAGTGTGTGAATGCATATTTGTGTTTTTATGCAAATAATATAAATAAAAATCCTAATAATCTAGCGCGTGGCGTGTGTGCACATACATAGAATAGAAAAAAGTAGAAGAAATAGAAAACCATAATATCTAGCTTTAAATGGTTATGCTAGTAATAGAAACAAAAGAAAAAACTTGATATTCTAGGGTATAGCATGTGTGCAAAACTCAAAGAAAAAAGAACTAACTTTATATTTTATGCAAAGTGATATTTGTAGTAATAATAATAATAATAATAATAATAATAATAAAAATAAAAAAGTATTTATCTTCTAGTGCATGGCGCGTGTACACGCATGAGAAGGAAAAGGTTGATGTTTCACTCCATGAACTATATGTGTACACGCATTTATGTTTTTATATAGAATATATATAAATAAATAAATAAGAAGAAATGAAAAACCTTGATGTCTGGCCTTAAATGGTTATGCCACCTCTCCCTACATTGTTTCCCCATTCTCCCATTCAACATTTGAGCAATGTGAGACCATTTTTTTTCTCCATATTCCTTCACTAATTGCACCAATAACCTGCAAAATGAAAATTAAAAAAAAAAATGATAATTCAAAACACAAAACCAAACAAGAAAATTAAAATAGAGAGAGAACAAATAATTCCAAACAATCTAAAAGAGAAGAAATACATTTCAAAAAATAAAAAAAGAAAAAGAAAAAGAAAATTTATAAAATGAAGTTCACCTATCCTCCTCCGTAGCCCATTGCCCTTTAACTATAATGGGGGTTTGATGAACTTTCTTAGTCCTTTTTTGATGCATCCTTCTCCTCTTGGATTCAACTTTTTTTCGATTTCCACCTTCCTTTGTTAAGCATGAAACTTCATCCGATAGATTCACATTCGTTGATCCGAATGCTTGATAATTTTTTGGTTGAAAATTCTGACCTTGATTCAACGCCTCCAGTAAAATTCTTGGAGGATAGTTCAAGAACCCTACATTTTGACCGCCATGCATGACATGATTTGCACCGTTTGATCCAGAAGGAATCGATGCGTTTAAATGAAAACGATTGTTTGAGCATCCATTTATCGATGAAGGTTGAAATGGATCGAATGGATCATAAAACGGAGCCAAAACCCCCAAAGATAAAGTGGAGGAAGAAGAGCCTTGAATGGGAAATTTATCAAAATTAGGAAAATTTTGATACAACCCATTCGGCGAAGAAGATCCGATTAAAAGCCCATTTTCCATTTGTGGTTTGGAGCTTTTTTCCGGGGAAAAACTTTGATAGAAAGTTGGATTTTCATTGAAGTTTGTACCAAACTCCATGCAGCTTGAAAAGGAAAGAGAAAGAGAGAAGAGAGAGAGAGAGAGTGTGAGAGCGAAAGCAGAAGAAGAAAGATGGTTTGTTTTTGCTTTGAGTGTTTTGAAAATGGGGTCTTTGGGCATTTTATTAGCAGTGAAAAGGAAAAGGGTGTGGGCCCAATTCATTTGTGGCCGTTGATTAGTGCATCTGATCACACGGCTGAAATTATAAGATGAGAGTGATGGTTAAGCTTCCATTTCTATGTTTGGGAGGTGGGTTTTGGAGTTTTTTTTTAGTTAAAATAGTCAAAAATAAAAAATAAAAAATAAAAAATAAAAAAATAAAATAAAATAGATTTTTTAATTTAATAAGATAAAATATCACATCTAATCCATAATTATTATATTTTTTTTCTTATAAAAAAGTCAAAAAAATCAAAAGTCCTTTCTAAATCAGACTTTTTAACCTCAGACTAAAATAATAAAAAATCAAAAAGGTCTAAAAAATCAATCCACTTCCCAAATGAAACCTTAGTACTGTCAAATGAGAGGTGAAATATACATAATAATTAGTCGTTGGTGAATTGTCTTTTCGTTGACTCTCCTCCGTACTCACACACACACACGTTGATATATTAATTTTTTTTATAATACAATTATTATATTTTAAAAAAATTAATTTTTCAAAATTAGGTTTTAATAGTATATTTTTTAAAAAAAATTAATATCATAATTGTATTTTTTATGTTGTTAATAAATTTAAAATAAGGGCAAAATAAAAAAATTATATTATTTTTGTACTTAATTTTTAAAAATAAACTAATATTTTGAGACAATAAAAAATAAAATAAAAGACTAATATTTTGAGACGAAAGGAGTAAAAATTATCAGGCAGCAGATGACAAGTGACGTATATGTGCTATGTTTCATGACATGAGTTCCGAAGGTATCACACTTAAAATCAAATATCAACCGTTTGATGGTAACCATGACTAAGATTACATTTCTCCAACGGTGGTGATCTATAGTTGAGTATGATAGAATTATTAGTGCGGTAGTATTAAATTAGAGGTGTAACATAAAATGTCTTTGTTTATATATACTAGTAAATAGTATTATTTACACTATAATAAATTAAGGTTTCGTTTGGTTTAGTTCTGCAATTATGATTTGAATGTAGAGTTATAATTTAAGTGTGGAATTATGAATTAAGTTTTTAAAAAAAAATTTTGTTTAGTTATGAGTTTTAAAAACAGTTTTTGAATTTAAAAATTGAAAAAAAAAAATTGAGTTATATTTTGAGTTTTGAATTATTGAATTTTGAGTTGTATTTTAAAATTTATTAGATTTATTTTTTTAAAATATTAAAAAATGTTTAAGAAAATTTTAATTTTTTTATTTAAATATTTCATTTTATTTTGTAAATACATATACATATTTTTAATTTTAATATTTTAAACAGTTCCGATTCAGACCCCCATATTTTACCACCTCGACACCTCCACTAACGTGGCAACTGCTTTAGCAATGTGAAGAGGGTCATGATTGAGACCCCTCCAATCACCACCCCCACCACCCCACATACACGTGGCGGGTGGTGATTGGAGGATAAGGAGAAAAAAAAAAAAACTGGTCAATCATAATGAGAAGGGATCAAAGGGTAGGGGGAAAATGAGGTCCGGGTCATTATTGATGTGAAGAATACTTGCACTATGATGGGTGTGATACACGCACCTGTGAAGGAAAAAAAAAAAAAAAACCAGAAAAATAAGCACCCTAATTTCACCCTTCCCTCGTCCTAACTTTCACTCTTCCCTCGTCCGTCCGCCATAGCTCATAGCTCATTGTCCCTCTTCCGTCTTCCCTCTCTCTCTCTCTCGATTTCATACATACATATATTCAGCAATCTCTGTGTATGTCTACCATGCCGAGTGTGAACACATTAGAGAGACTTAATCAATTTGAGAATACATTGAGAAATAATAGAAATGCTTTGGACAACATTATACATTCAGAAAAAAAAAAAAAATTTGATGTAGCCTCACAACATTAGACAGTAGAAGTATGGCAACACTGATTTTCAGAAATAATTTGTTCAGTGTGGCAACATTGATTTTCTGAAACAGAGTTATCAGAAATAGTATACTCTGTCAAATACTATAGAAGTATGATCTGTATAGCTTATAATTAATTTATTTATTTTAATGATGCTGAAGATGGTGTTTTGTTTACTTTCATAGTAAATTGATGAGAAACTTGTGAATGATGAACAAGCATCTAGATAAATAAAATTTGTTGACTAAAGATTCATTTTCTTTATTTTTTGAATACTTTTTCTTAGTGCATAGCAGAAGGTGTTGACACCACTTCCAATTGGATTTTCTGTGTTCATGGTTTACCTTAGCAGTGTAATCATGAAAGTGTTGGACCCACATCCAATTTAATTCTCTTTTACAGAATGTGAACACTTCCAATTTAATTCTCTTTTACAGATTTGCTAAAATGTGAACACTTCTTCTACAGAACATGCAAAATTTCTTAGCAGCATTTACTAAAATATGATCAATCAATGTCTAAATTTATGTACAAATCTGTAAATCAACAGTATAATGCAGCGGAATAAAAATTATGGTCATACCTTTCCTGCAGAGTCTGAATAGAAAAGATCTCGTGGGTAAATCACGTGCTTCCTGAATCTGATTTGTCAACCCAGTAGTGGGGTGATATTACAATAGTAAATATCACCCACACAAATCACAGTACAAACGGCTTTGATCGTTGTTTTTGGGAGAGAGTCAGAATATGGGAAATTTCTGTGTGTTTTAGACTTGATAGGAGGGTCTTAATTTATACATGTATAGGGGAGAGAGGAAAAGCCTCTAGCTTTTATGGCTGGTCATTAATGCACCATTAACCTCTGCAATAAAGGTAGGAGTTACAAACCCCATTAATGCAAGAGATACAAACCCCATTAATGCAGGAGTTACAAACACATGTGGCATGACCATTTCAATGCTCTGAATTTATAACTGTAACTCCTGCATTAATGGGGTTTGTAACTCCTGCATTAATTGCAGAGGTTAATGGTGCATTAATGACCAGCCATAAAGGCTAGAGGCTTTTCCTCTCTCCCCTATACATGTATAAATTGAGACCCTCCTGTCAAGTCTAAAACACACAGAAATTTCCCATATTCTGACTCTCTCCCTCAAAAACCAACGATCAAAGCCATTTACACTGTGATTTGTGTGGGTGATATTCACTGTTGTAATATCACCCCACTGCTGGGTTGACTGATCAGATTCAGGAAGCACGTGATTTACCCACGAGATCTTTTCTATTCAGAATCTGCAGGAAAGGTATGACGATAATTTTTATTCTGCTGCGTTATACTGTTGATTTACATTGGTATCAGAGCCTAGTTGGGTATTTTCGTATTTTCTTAATCATGTATATATATGTACACATTATATAGCATGAATTATTTGTAAATTTACATGAAGATGCTATTGTATGGAATTTATCATGCTTTGTATATGCCTTAAGTAGTGGGAGATTGACTGATTGTTTTTTGCGCATGGAATTAAATTAAATTTTGATAATTATCACTAGAGGCGCAAGAGATGATTACGAGCATAGCAAATTTTTGATCTAGAGACATGTGTAAAATTATCATTATTTAAGTTAGATTCTTTTTTGCTGCAAAATAATTTTTTTTTGTGTTGCTATCATTAAAATCCCCTGCGCATTTGTTTACTCTATATGTAGAAATGGCTGCTAAGACAGTGGTGGCAGACTTAACTAAGGGAGCGAAATTGGATGGCGACAATTATGACATATGGCGCCGTAAGATCCAATACCTCCTCAATGACCAAGAAGTGTTGACCACACTTGAACAAGTGATGGTTGAGCCAGAGCAGGGCAATACAGCTCAATATCGTCGTGATCTTGAAGCCTTTCAGACTTGGCGTAACAAAGATCGGTGTGCGCGCTTTACTATGTTGAGCAGCATGCACAACGACTTGATTAGTGAGTTTGAGCATTGCCCGATTGCATTTGAGATGTGGGAAGCTCTCAAGCAAAAGTTTGGTATTACCTCTTTGGCAAAGCTACGTGGGCTGACTATGAAGTTTGACTCATATCAGAAAAAGGCGCATCACTCGATGAAGCAACATTTGAGGGTCATGTCAGCCATGATACGTGAGCTTGCGGCTGCTGGGCACAATTTGACTCAAGAGCAGCAAGTACAAGCTGTGATTTGCTCTGTGCCAAATTCTTGGGAGCAGATGAAGCAGAACATGATGCATAATGAGAGTGTGAAAACATTCGAAGACATATCGCGTCATTTGGAGCTAGAGGCTGAGCGCCTTGAGGCGGCTAAGTCTGATGGTTCTGCTATGGTGGTTGAGTCAAGCTCACGTAGGACTTCTCAGTTCAAACGTGGAAAAGCAAACGGTGCCCGTAAGGAGCAAGCAGCAGCTGCACTTAAGCCCAATGGCGCTAGAAATTTCAAGCGTTGGGCACGAGAGGTGGTAATGTTAGAAATGGGCGCCCATGTGGCATGACCATTTCAATGCTTTGAATTTATAACTGTAACTCCTGCATTAATGGGGTTTGTAACTCCTGCATTAATGGGGTTTGTAACTACTGCCTTTATTGCAGAGGTTAATGGTGCATTAATGACCAGTCATAAAGGCTAGAGGCTTTTCCTCTCTCCCCTACACATGTATAAATTGAGACCCTCCTGTCAAGTCTAAAACACACAGAAATTTCCCATATTCTGACTCTCTCCCAAAAACAACGATCAAAGCCGTTTGCACTGTGATTTGTGTGGGTGATATTCACTGTTGTAATATCACCCCACTGCTGGGTTGACTGATCAGATTCAGGAAGCACGTGATTTACCAACGAGATCTTTTCTATTCAAACTCTGCAGGAAAGGTATG